ACCTGTGACTGTCGCTCTTTTTCAAGTTGTTTCCTGTTTTTTCAATGTGAAAACAAAAGGTTTGTATTGTTTTTCCTGTTTTTCCTGTTTTCCTCATCCCTCTCCAGAGCGCCCTGGGGTCTCTGAGCGGCCCGCGGCCTTCCCTCCCAGCAGAACGGAAGAGGGCGCGGGCGGGCTTTCCTCCAACTACGTTTTGTTGCAGAACGGGCGCGGCTGAGCCACGCGCGCGGGCACTCAAGTGAAAGGAATTACAGGAAAACGCGAATGCGCATCAGCCCCTGAACAGCGAGCTCGAGCAATCAAGTCATGGGATCACGACACGGACTAAACAACAAAGCCCTGGCGCAAGAGAGCCTAAACCCAATCACCAACGCATCGGTACTATTCAGGGAAACGCGGATCTGCTCAAGGAAACGCAACAGAAGCAGGCCGCTTACGGAGACAGCGCGCCGCCGCAGCGGCCGCTGGCCTCTTGCGCAGGACTTTAGCGCTGGGGGGCAGGCGCTCCACGTCAACGCGCGGGTTCGCGCGCGCCGACAAGCGCAGCTTTGGCGTTCTGTTCGGTGGGGCGTCAATGAGAGCGCCGAGCGCGGCCTGGAGGAGCTCGCGCTCCTGGTGCAGTTCGGTCAACGGTAAGCTCCTCCTCGCCCAGCCGACCAACAGCTTGGCGAACGCGCATATTGAGCATATTGCGCGTGCGTTCCGCTCAGTTTGAATGAACACGTTCCGAAATAATGCTTTCAGTTGCATGTGCAGAGCTTCATTTCTCGTGATCCTGCACATCACCTGAACGCTGGGGTTCCGCGCAATGAATCTACCAAGATGCAAGATGTACTCAAGCTGCGCAGGTGGCGTTGCATATCGCAGATGACCAAGGATAGCAATTTTCTTACTCGTCGTCTTGTCCATCTCCCGCGGGAACATCTTGCACAGCGCGGCGATGTCTCTGACGAAAGCTGCGGCGGCGCGGCACGGCCGCTCGGGATAGCCAGCGGCCTCAATCGCCGCTTTGGCCCGCGCTGCCGAAGCGTCCGAGAGGGAGGAGATAGCGTCGTCCAATGACTGCCATTCCGCCCGCCGCCGCTGCCCGCGGAAGTACGGCTTGCCATCGTCTAGGCCCATGGAGAATTTGACGATGCATCGGCGGACGAGGATCGATAGTGAAGTGCGCTTCTCGTTGGGCGCCTGCTCGATCTTTAGGGCGATGTGCAAGGGGTCATTGGAGAGGCACTGCAGCCGCGGGAACGCGACGCGGAGAGCGGTCTCCTCCATTGAGATGGGCGCGTCCGAGCATATCATGCGCACCTGCCTGGCGCCGTTCCCGTTGCCAACGGCTTCAAGGAGGGCCTTCTGGGCGTGCTTGAAAGCCTCGGACGGCGCTGGCTGCGCCAAGAGAACAGAGTCCATGCACTGAACAGAGAGCTGCACGTGGACGCCCTGCTTTCGACTGCCACCTATGAGAATGCCGACCACGCGCTGACGCCGACCCTGGCCGCGCCGATCCTGAGCCCAGCATCGGTGCATGCACGGAGTCGGCATTGCCAGGTTCGGCGCATGCGCATAATTGGCATTCCCATTACCTCCATGAGCCCCATGCTGCGTCTGGTACAATACCGACAATAGAGTTGAGTACTGCCCGTCAATGCCAATGACAGTCTTGTCTGCGCCCTCGCGGCATTTCGCGATCATGTTTCTGATGCTGCAATTTCTCAACACACCCCTCTACGAAAGTCAGATGACTGCGGGAATCGCCTGGGGAAAGGCAACGGGTAAAACCTGCGGCGTCCTTCACGTGGGCCCAGGCCCGCTTCTTGGACCTTTTGGTGTCTGGGTGGAGTAACGCGGCCAAGAACGAAGCCAATAAATCATTTGTACAACGGTAATGCTCACTGACTCGGTGATACTTTGGCGCGTCCTCGCTCAGGATATAACGAGTGCGTTCCCTGGCATCGAGCAGGGGCACCGTGTATCGATCCGAGTCAGTCTTCCTCAGCTGGTGATTGACCTCGTTCCAAGATGGAGGCTCCATGCACCCATTCCGAATGAAATCAGCACTCCGCGAAAGTAGCGAGGGCGAACTGGTCTCATCTGCGCCCGCAGCCCAGAGGCTCACAGAGCGCCGACATAAGGCTGAGTGGTTCCACATCGCATGGATCACGCGCATCTGTCTGTTCGACGCGCCACAGAGCGTCGCCCCGACGTGGGCATTGCTCGCGTGCGAAATCAACTTCCCCCTCCGATGGAAAGTCCTGAAGGGGCACACCGGGCAGTGCCGCAAGTCATCCTGTCGGGCAGTGCCAGCGCTCTCCGCGTCGCGGAGGGTCGACAAGGTAGCTTTGGCTTCTTGATCAAGCATCGCTCTGAGCTCAACTGGCGTCTTCGACAGATAAGAACCCTTTCCCCCGCCCAGTCTGTCGAAGAGGTCCGTCGAGAACGACGCGTTGTGCTTTGACCCCACGGCGTCCAAATGCTCGGTCAGAGCGCCCAAACTGGACTGATGAAGCCGCACGGTGGCTCCGTCCAACATGAGAGTAATCACGTAGCACTCCGGAACGTGTTCTTCCAGGCCGCCAACGAAGTCGTTCATGATCTCCTCCTCCACGGCAGCCAGCGCAAAGTGGAGGCGAGACGCGCGAGGGTTTGGCCTATCAGCGAAGCGGCGCCTCAAATATTCAAAACGAGGCATGTCCAACGCGATATCCACGGCCGCATGAAGCTGGACTGAGAGATTCCACAAGAACGGAATGTCATTGGACGGCCTGCCCAAGTGGACCAACCGAATCAACATCCATCTTCTTAGCTGCTTTCAATGGTATCTTGCAGTGCTGCACTAGAAACTCTCGCCAATGCCTGTAATTCTCGACGAAGCTGATGAGTATTTCAAAATCACATAAGTCTGTCACTGCTTCTCTAAGCAGATTGAGCAGGATTGCGGGGTAGCAGTTGTTGATGTCCACGTCGGCAAAAATCAATTCACCTCCAACCGACGGCCCAACTTCAGCCGCCATGGCATTTGTTTGCCCCCCTGCTCAAATGCGACTGCATTGACGGCCCTGCCGCGTACCATCTGCCTGGTATGCCGTGCTTGCTGTAATAGGAAACCTTCATCACACCGAAATCGCCAACTCTGCGGCCGCGCGTGCGGTAGGCCTCCATGGACCGCCGTATCTGTGGCACCTTGGAAGCAAAAGCCTCCTCCTCTAAGCCCTGGGCGAGCGCGGTGACGTTAATCCATTCATCAACTTCGCACACGAATTTATGTTCGCTATCCAATTCTCTGCTCTCTGCTGGGTCTGGCACCACGGGGGCGAGTGGCGGGCACTTACTTTTGCACTCCCACACCGATAACCATTTCTGAAATCATCCGCCGAACACGCACGCGTCGTGCTTGTTCAGGATCTCCGAAAACTTGTCGGAATTGAGGTTGAGGAGATGCAGCTCCTGCGGGCGCCAACACAGACACATGCAACAATCGCAGCAGACGTGCACCACCCCGCCCGCGCGCACGCGTGCAGTGCAGGCGCGCAACCACAATGCGCGCGCGTCGACGTGTCATGGGGGCAATGAGAGCGCGCGCCACATGCAGTCATTTTCGCTTCCACCAACTTCCGCGGCCTCCCGCCACACTTCCGCCCCGTGGGGCGCGGGGGGAGCGCAGCAGCTTCACGCCTTCGGAGTTCCGCGGGCTTCCGCGGCCGTCCGCCAAGCTTCCACCGACGCTATTATTGTCCTCGGCCGAGGGTTTGCGACCCGCGCATACATCGCCCCCATTCCTACTGCTGCCCCTGCATGGCCATTGCAAACTTCATGCGTTGGTTCCTTGGTCTGCCCTTGCACTGCAACAAGATGAGGCCAAGCGCCAACGGCCGCCATAAGATTATCCCGCCGAGTCGGCTTGCCCTTGGCTCCGTGTCTGAAAGGACCAGGTACATTTTTCAGCAGTGAGTTAACCTGGTACATCGTCACTTGTGTCTTGCCTGCCGCGTCTCGGTGGGCAGTCTCAACGATTGCTCTAGCCTCGCATACCCGTTTAAATTCGTGAGCTGAGTTTGTGAACTCTGCTGGCATTTCGAAGCCGCCATTGGCCATCTGCGCAACGACCCTCCGAGTCTCCTCCACAATCGACTCGTCTGGGTCCAGCAGCATCTGGCGGCAGCTGCTGGCGGCGTGCTCTTGGATGAAAGGCCACAAGAAGAATTTACTGTAGGCGAGACGAGTTTGGTCGCCCTCCAAGAAGGACATCAAGTCAGCTTCCTCGCGGCACACTGCGCCGTCGACATTGATCGACCCGACGTTGTTGGTGAAAACAGATTTGAGAACAACAATTCTGAGGCGTCGCCAAATAGAACGAAGTTCGTGGAATTTCATGCAATCCCCGTTAATAGATGGAAGCTGTCTGTTCGTTTCCCAATATTTTGCGCAAGTCAGCCACCGATCGTATTGGGTCGTCTTGCCGAAGAGGGGGCGACAAGCAATGAATTCTCCAGAAACAAGCTTTGTCCAGACCTCTTCCAGCAATGCAATGCCAGCCGCGCACTCCTGAACAGTAAGGCTTTTTGCGTAGGCAACCTGCCCACCTTGTTTTCTGAATTCCTGCGGCTCTTGGAATACGTCTGCAGCGAGGACAGCATGGTGCCCGCCGAATACGCTATTCCGTAGCACTGTCCTGGCGGACTTGGAATTGCCTCCGTTCCCCTGTGAGCATGACCATCGCAGGCGGCGTCGGTACGCCCATCCACGCCAGCGCCTCCATCGCGAGGTCAATCACGCGCCCAGGCTCGTTGCCAGCAAAAGATGTTGCTAGGAAAAGGCCCAGCTTATCCACGACATCTTGGGCTGGTTCTGGTACGATGCTGGCTGGTATTCCAAACTAGCATCGGTTTTCCCTTGCCTTTGGGATCTGCACGATCCTGTCTGCGGCTGTCTCAGCGCTGTCGTCAATCTTAACAGCGCAGTCTTCAAACGCAACGGAAACGAAGGGAGGGTCCTGGCTTGGGGACATGAAACCAGGCGCCGAGTAGATCCACGAGCTTCTCAGATTGGCCCTTGCCCGTGAATCGACAAATGACTTGCTGGCAACCCCTGCAGGCGTCGAACGCCCAATCAGCAACTTGTTCCTTCTTCACTTGTAGATCTGATGAGCACACAAGTTGAGCTACTTCCCAATTCCCAGCATCGCTCTCCAGGAACTGAAACACGTTAACTAAGTCGCGCGGGACCTGCCCGTTCATGATGCGAAGTAGAACAATTTGTGTAACGGACAACACCCGTTCAATCTTGTACATGTACGCCGTGGGAAGATCTTCCACTCGCCCGAACGACCCCTGCCGGTATAAATATACGCCGTCTGGGTGCGCAATGGTGTCGTCAAGTGCCAAGGCAGCGATTCGCGCAATGAGGAGATCGTTGGTAGGGTTCCAGTGCAGCCGCTCCATAACGCACATCGCTATTACTCTTAAGCAGAAGTATTCAAGGCCCGCTGGCTGCGGGTCCCACGCCTGCAACAATTCGTTCGTCTTGTTAATCACTTGCGACACCGCTGCCCTGACGTCGAATTTCGCGGGCTCTACATCAGACACCAACGTAGGCCCTGAGCGCGCCTGGAGACGCCTGAACTTCTCTGGCTCCCACTTGTCGAGAATCCGCCGCTTAGTCTCCGCCGTGTGCAATTCGACAGAGTCCATGCCGCCCAGAGTATCCACGGATGGCGCCGTCGAAGATGTCCCATCGGCGGTGTACTCCAGAATGGCGTCGCCGTCTCTGGTACTCTCTCCATCAGATCCAGCGACGTCGAGGAAGGCTACCATGTCGGGAACGCGGTTCGGCCGAGGATGAAACAAGTCATCATCCTGCGGCAGCGCATCAAAAGGTTCAACATCTAGATCGCTGTCTCCTGAATGACTCGAAGCTTCCTCGACGAGGTATAGGCGCCTCAAGTAAGCATCAAAAGCATGTACGTCGATCAATGTGTCAATGTCAATTGAACGTGGCGAAGCTTCTCCATTGTCGAACGCTTCCTCGGCATCGTCCAAGCGCTGCAACATAGCGCCAAACGCGCGCCTATCCGAGTCTGATTCTGTATCCGTTACATCGCCTTGGTCTGAGATCTCCCCGATGTCGACGACGCGGTACCAAGTGGCATCTGATCCCAAGAATGTTTCGAGAGAGCTGATCGGGCCGTCGAACTGGCACCGCTGGTCGCCATCGATGACGTCGTACCCGTCCTCGAATACTTTCACGGCAACGAAGTGAAAGAAGACGTGCACCAAGTATTTATCTGGGCCCGCATCATGATCTGGCCTCTGAACGTGCTTCAGCGCCTTGCCGAGAGGAGCGAGGAAGCGATTGCCGTCTCGGAGGGCCCAGTGGGGCCCGTCCTCATTAATCTCGACCTTGTGCCCCAGGTTTTGCAAAGCTTTCGGGAGGCGCACATTGGTGAAAAGGCACCTTGCGAATGCAAATGGGCCCGCATGCGGCGTTGAGCAGCGCCGCGAAGAGTAGCCGGGCGCCGATCGTGATGCAGGGCAGCGCCGGGCCCACTGCCGCGCGTCGCCCTTCCCGACCAGCACTGGGCACGCCGCCGACGTCGACAACCTGCGGCGAGGCGTCGTCGATCTCCTCGCCCCAGTCAGCGGGGGCAGCATGGCTGGCGTTGGCTTGTTTGAAGGGCGGCGTCGCGCGGACTCCATTCTTCGGGCTCCTTGTGGCTATGGCGTTGACCTTGACGTGGTAATCTGCGCCCTTGAACGCCACGAGCAAGGACGGCTCCGAGAAGGCATCGCTCTCGCCAACGACCACGCCCTTCATGCCGTGCAATGTGTTCCCCTTGCGTGGCCCGCGAGGCTGGCGCTTCTTGACCTTCCAGTATACCGTTTGCCCCAACGCATAGCCATGGAGGCGCGGCGCGGCATCTTCACCGCCGTCGCTGGTCTTCGCGGCAAGCGAGCGCGGCCCCCGACTCACTCGAAAGGGCCTCTCACTTGGCGGCGGGTGGACACGGCGCACAGCTTGACGTGGTAGTCATCGCCCTGGAAGGACACCACCAAGCAAGGTTCCGTGCGCGCGCCGCCCCCGCGGACGACGGCCCCCCTCATGCCGTAGCTGGCGCCCCTGAGGGCCCAGTGCACCGTCTGCCCCGCGACGTGGCCGTGGAGCGAGGGCTCGGGGTACAACAGATCGCCAGGATCCGACCTCGTCTCGCGCAAGTCCTCGCCGTCTTGTGCCGCGTCCAGGAACCCGTGGTAGAATCCGTTTTTTAATCTTCAGGAACCAGTCGACCGTGCACATGTCGCCGCAAGCTGCCATCTGGGCAGGCAGAGACGAATTTATCAGAAAGCCTAGTGGAAGAAAGCAAAACGCAATTGAGCGCTAGTGCAAACTTGAGCCAGGCCATCTACGGAGCTACCTGATCCCCGTTGGGATGCCCCTATCAACAACACTCCACACTGTTTGGCGGTACCCCTGTTTGGAACCCCCTCAAACATCGCTGCGTTGAGGGCATCCCTGTTTGGGGTGCCCTCTATCAACGACACCCCGAAATGTTTGACACCACCCTTGTTTGGGACCCTCTCAAACATCCTTGCGTTGAGGGCATCCCTGTTTGGGATGCCCTCTATCAACAACATGTCAAACTGTTTGGCGGCACCCTTGTTTGGGGCCCTCTCAAACATCTTTGCGTTGAGGGCCTCCCTGTTTGGGATGCCCCTATCAACAACACCCCAAACTATCTGGCGGCCCCCTCGTTTGGTATATCCTCAAACATCGCTGCGTTGAGGGCATCCCTGTTTGGGATGCCCCTATCAACAACACTCCAAACTGTCTGGCGGCCCCTTGTTTGGTATATCCTTAAACATCGCTGCGTTGAGGGCATCCCTGTTTTGAAATGCCCTCAGAAACATCACGGGCCCTCAAGCATAATACATTGGTAACGTTTTGGGGCCCTGGGCGCCCTTTCCCGCTCCTCCCTCAGCCGTCGCCGTCGCTTTCGTCTGTTTGTGTTGGTCCTTTTTGTTAAGTCTGCAGCTGCGCGGCTGCGTTCAGCCCCAGTCGTTAGCGTGCTCCTTCGGCGGGCCGTTTTCGGCCAACCAAAAAACTCGCTTTCCGAGTTTCCGCGGCAGGTGGTCGGGGGCCCAGCTCTTGAAGCTGGCCCACCACCTTTTCCAGGAGCGCAGCTCAGAGGTGGCACCCTCAAGCTCGTTGGCCTTCTTCTCAGCGGCGGCCAGCTTTTTCGTCAGCCTGTTGTTCTGCTGCGCCAGCTGGTCTCTCTCCCGCTCGTCCGCCTTCTTCTCGGCAGCAGCGAGCTTGTCCGTCAGCCTCCGGTTCTGTTGCAGCAGCTGGTCTCTCTGCCGCGCCAAGGCTTTCAGGCTTGCCTCCGCCGCGCCCTTGTCGCGGTAGTGCTTGTTTGACCGTCTCCTATCGCAGCATAATACACACCGACAACACATACAAGGCGGCGCGTCAGATTCTGCATGCCCCGCAAACGAAGGAGTGCGGCCTGGCGAGAATAAGCGGGTTCGAAAGGCGGTCGCCCTTCGCGGGAGCACAGAAACGGACGTGCCGCCAAGTTGTTGCTGGTACGATTTCATGTTGCCTGTCCTCAAGTCGTCGGCTTGCCGTCGGTACTCAAGAGTCTGCGCCCGCAGCTTCGCAGCAGCTTGGCGCCCAGCCTTCAGTAGGACCTCTCGGGTCCGCTCCTGCTTCAGGAACTTCTCCACCCGTGCCTTCGCCCGCCGCTCGTTGTTAGCGTCGAGTTTGTCCCTGTGCGCCTTGGTTCCCTTGCGGGGGTTGCCCATGGCCAAAGGTTCTGAAGCGTGGCCGCAGAAGAAAACTTGAACATAGATGCGTATTACAGGCGCAACAACAATAACTATGATGATCATGCTAACGATGACGATGATGATGGTGATGATGATGGTGATGATGATGCTGATGGTGGTGGTCGCGATGTCGATGACGCCGAGGATGATGACGATGATGATGATGATGCTGATGATGATGATGACGACGACGATGCGGATGCCCAAATTGCGAGACAGGAGGGGCCCTCACAGCGTTCCCCTCTCAAATCCACAGGATCCAATTGGTAGGTCATAAGTAGAAAAACCATATGTTCCAGGGGGCGGAGATACAACCTCCACCCTTCCTCCCCTGCCCCCCTCCGCTTATTCCGACCGACCGACCGTTCCCTTCCCCCCTGCCCGATTGTGGCCCCCCGTGCCCGCCCTTACCTCCGCGCCCTCTTCTGCTTATTCCGAACGACCGACCGTGCCCCCCCCCCCCTCTGATCGACCGTGGCCCCCCGCGCCCCCCCCCCTGTCCCCCGTGCCCCCCCAATCTTGCTTCCGACGGGCCGACCCTGCACCCCCCCTCCTCTCCGCCCGACAATGGACCTCCGTGCGCCCCCCCTCCCCTTTTTTTCCCCGTGCCCCTCCCCCTCCGTTGATCTCGACCGACCGACCGTGCCCCCCCCCCCTTCCCCAGCCGTGGCCCCCCGTGCCTCTCCCCCTTCCCCTTGTGGCCCCCCTCTGCTTATCCCGAACCGACCGACCGACCGTGCCCTCCTCCCCCCACTGCCGTCCGTGCCCCTCGTGCCCCGCTTCCCCCGGGCCCCCCTCTGCTTATTCCGACCGACCGACCGTGCCCCCCTTTGCCCGACCGTGGCCCCCCGTGCCCCCCACCCCTTTCCCCCGTGCCCCTCCCTTCTGCTAATTCCGACCGACCGACCGCGCCCCCCCCTGCCCGACCGTGGCCCCCCGTGTTTCCCCCATTCCTCCCTAGCCGCCCCCCTCTGCTCATTTCGACCGACCGACCATGCCCCCCCCCCTGCCCGACTGTGGCTCCCCCCCCCCCCCCCCCCCCCCCCCCTCCTGTTGATTCCGTCCAACCGACCTTGTCCACTCTCCCCTGCTTGACGTGGCCCCTCGTGCGCCCGCCCTTTTCCTCATGGCCCCTACCCTCTGCTTACTCGAACCGACCGACCGTGCCCCCCCCCCCTGCCGCACCGTGGCCACCTTGGCACCCCGTGCCTCCCACCTTCTCCGTGTGCCCCCCCATCTGCTTATCCCGACCGACCGACCGTCCCCCCCCCCACCCCCTTCTGCCCGACCGAGGCCCCCGTGTTCCCCTCCTTTCCTCTCGTGCCACATCTCTGCTTATTAAGACCGACCGACCATGCCCCCCCCGCCCGACTGTGGCCCCCCATGCCCCCCCTTGGTGCCCCCCTTTGCTTACTCCGACCAACCGACCGTGCCCTCTCACCCTGCTTGACCGTGGCCCCTCGTGCCCCCGCTCTTCTCCCCGTGGCCCCCGCCCTCTACTTAACCGAGCCGACCGACCGTGCCCTCCCGCCCCCCCTGCCGGACTGTGGCGCGGCGGCACCCCATGCCTCCCACCCTTTTCCATGTGCCCCCCCCGCCTCTGCTTATTCCGACCGACCGACCGTGCCCCCCCCTCCTTTTCCCGACCGTGGTGCCCCGCCCCCGCCGTTCTCTCCGTGCCCCTTGCTTCTGCTTATTGCGACCGGCCAACCGTGCCACCCCCTTCTGCCCGGCCGTGGCCCCCCCGTGCCCCCTCCTTTCCCCCGTGCCCCCCCCTTCTGCTTAGTCCGGCCGACCGACGGTGCCCCCCTCTGCCCGACCGTGGCCCCTCATGCCCCCCCCCCTTTGCCCGACCGTGCCCCCCCCCCCCCCCCCCCCTCTGCGCTCATTCCAACCGACCGACCGTGCGCCCCTGCCCGACCGTGCTCCCCCCTGTGCTTCCCCTGTTCCGATCGACCGATCGTGCGCCACCCCAGCACGTCCGTGGCCCCCCGTGCCCCCCCCTTCCCCTCTGGCCCCGCTCTGCTTATTCCGACCGGCCCACCGAGCACCCCCCCCTGCCTGCAGAATAGGCTTGCTTAGCCCGGTCGTCGTACTAGTAGGCCTACTTCCTCCTACTAGTACGACCGCGGGGCGTACTAGTAGCCGTACGTAGCTGTACTCGTACGCTCGGCCGTGCACGCCGCAGTCGTACTAGTAGCCGTACGTAGCCGTACTCGTACGCTCGGCCGTGCACGCCACTAGTAGCCGTACGTAGCCGTACTCGTACGCCCCGCCCCGCACACAGCCGTCGTACTAGTAGGCCTACGTAGCCGCACTAGTACGACCGTCCCTGCACTCCGCCGTCGTACTAGTAGGCCCACGTAGCCGTACTAGTACGCCCGCTCCGGTCGTACTAGTACGCGTACCTGGCCCTACTCGTACGCTCGGCAGGGCACGTCGGAGTCGTACTCGTGACCGTACGTAGCCGTACTCGTACGCCCGACCCGGCACACCGCCGTCGTATTAGTAGGCGTACGTAGCTGTACTAGTACGGCCGTTCTTGCACTCTGCTGCCGTACTAGTATGGCCTACGTCGCCGAAGTCGTACGCCCGCTCCAGTCGCACTCGTACCGGTACGTAGCCGTACTCGTACGCTCGGGCGTGCACGTCGCAGTCGTACTAGTCGCCGTACGTAGCCGTACTCGTACGCCCGAGCCGCGCACCGCCGCCGTATTCGTAGGCTCACGTAGCCGTACTCGTACGCCCGTCCGTGCACTTTGCTGTCGAATTAGTGCGCCTACGTAGCCGAACCCGTACGCCCGCTCCACTCGTACTAGCACGCGTACGTCGGCCATTTGGAGGATTTTCGGCATATTGGAGGCCTCCGCACCCGCTTCACAATGGCGGAATTTCTTTGACCGGCCCCCGGTCTGGTCCTCGGTCCCCGGTCCCCTTGTGGCCTCTTCAATCGTGGACATGGGGAAGGAATGAGCCGGGAGCTTCGTGCGTGCGTAACTCGAGAGACTTGCGAGGAAGTCTGACGCGGGAGTCCCTCTGCATAACCCCTCCCCTCCCTATACGGCCCGGGAGTCCTGTCTGTGAACGACTTAGACCTAGACGCGTCTGAGCTGGTCTTCAGCACATTTGTTACCGCCACGGGCCTGCGTGCCCGACAGGGTGACTGAGGAGCTGACGACGACGACGACGACGACGACGACGACGACGACGACGACGACGAGACAGCGGCCGGGCGCAGGGGTAACCTCTTGTGTCCGGGCCGGGGGTGGTAACCCATCCTCGGCCGAATCGGAGGCAGGGGTAACCCCTTGCCTCCGGGCCGCCGGTGGTAACCCATCGGCGGCCGAATCGGGCGCAGGGGTAATCCTTTGCGTCCGGGCTGGGGGTGGTAACCCATCCTCGGCCGAATCGGGGGCAGGGGTAACCCCTTGTCTCCGGGCCGCCGGTGGTATCCCATCGTCAGCCGAATCGGGCAAAGGGGGGAACCCT